TTATCAACATTTTAAGTGGGAATGAGTAGACTATGCAAAATAATTTTGTAGAGAATGCAACAATTTTACAATGGCGCTCAAAGTGTTAATCAGGTTTATGCATAGTGTGTGCAACGTTGACAAATTTCACGAAATATAAAAAAATATAGGAGTTATAGTATATTCATTAAATCACTAACCCTCAGTTATTTCTATTTTCTACAGTTTCTATAATATTCATATTGCCATTGATTTTGATAAGATGATTGGGTTTTTGAAGGGTCTTAATGAGATTGTACCCGCGTCTACCTCTGGGCACTGCGTTACTATTCGTCGACTGTCTACATCATCGTACAAGGCAAAAGAAATAACAGATGTCAGTGACCTTTCAACTAAGTGGCGTTGGCACTGGAAAGACAAAAACAATATATGGAAACAATTCGGTTTTAGCGAGGTCAGTTTCAATAATATATTTTGAACTATCTGTTAAACTGTTGGAAAGTTTATTTTGTTTTGTATAGTCTTTTTACGCAAATAATTGATGCTTTTAGTAAGTCAATGTTTATCCCATTGTCATTTTTAGCTCACTTATATACTGTTTGTTTCCATAGCTACCGGGTAAAGCAAATAGTGATGACATTGAGTCTGCTCTATTAGAAGAAGAAAAAGAGTATAAGTTTGCATCTGGTCGATCTCAGTATGTGTTAGACTTCACTACAATGCAATTAAAAAGCACAAATGAGCAGACAACAATGGACGTGAGAAGACGACCACAATTTGTTGGAAGGAGCGCTGTTTACAGGTATTGACAACTTTTATTATATTTTTTTATTTATATTGTATATAAATATTTTATATTTCTGAAAACTGAAAAAAAAATCATATGTTTCAATTCTCTAGAGCTCTGACTTCACATCCAGTATTTTTCAAAAAAAGAAGCGATAGCTTCATAGCACCAACTGTATGGGATGTGGTACCTACTGGCAAAGATTTTATTAGAAGAAGATTGAGTACTCAATCGGCTGAATTTACATCCGTGAAACAGCTATTCAGAAACACCATTCCACCATCAACAGCAGCAATTATAAGAATAGAACGGGTACAAAATGTTGAACTTTGGGAACATTATCAAGGGTAGGTACTCAACTGTTTCTCACGTGAAATGGTACACATCTGGGAGTAATGAGAATTTGTACATATATAAGTAGTAAACTCATGACGCCACGCCATGCTGAGTTAGGACTCATGTCGGAAAAAAATATGTGTTTAATGATTTTAAAAGCTGTTTAAATCCATTATCTATTAAACATCCAAAACATGTTTTCTATCCCACAGCAAAATGTGTTGATTGATTGTTATTTATTTCCTATAACTCACTGAAAATATGTTGGGCAAACAAATATAGGTCTCTTACGTCTTGTGTAAGTTATCATACTGTTACAAAATCTGTATACAACATATGTTGGTTAGTGATGCAATAGTCGTATGTATGTGTGATTCGTGTTCAATATGTCGACGATTTCATTAAAATTTCAATTTTAAAAACTGTTGGTTACAATTTATTTTGTACACTTGTTTATGTATTCAAATCATACCAGCGTTATATAGTGGTTATAAAGTGATTGCTGCATCAGCGTTTTATGTGAATTTATTAGGATTTGCCGTATTTTGAAATACAAACTCACAATAAATGTGAGTATTTTGGTATACTGAACATTTTAATTAGCGAAAGTAACATTAAGCGCAATAAGATTAAATATAAAAAGTCCATGTTAGTAGTTATCCTTGAAAACTTAAAGCGGGGGAGTCGTCACCTACGCATGCGCCAGATGGCCATAGCGTGTCATTGTTTACAAACAAGCGTCTACTCATGAGCCTTTGCGTTTTTAGCGTGTGTTTATCGTCGCTTGGGAATCAATTCCCGCGCGTGCGCAGGTGACGACTCTCCCGCTGTAATGTGAATAAAATCATTATAACTGGATTTAAGACCGAAAATCATTAAAAATAAGTATCTTTTTTTGGATACCCCATTTTTCTAAACATAATTTGACTCTTATATTTCCTGTACATAGAATACGTCACGTGTCACGTGTGACGCGTGAACAGTGGACTCCTTAGCTATCAGCAAGATCTCTACTGCCATTTGCTTCTATTGTCTATAATAGGGAGTTGAAATACCCTCGGTGTTCTTCGTCTTTCATGAGTCAGCAGAACTTCGTGGCGAAGATTTGCCTGTCACCTTATGATTTATAGTTTCTAGAATAGTGGCCAGACTAATACAATCTGGGAATAGACTGAAACACACAACAGTATATTAACGTAATAATTCAACATCACATCCACATTCCGCACGTGCTATATAAACCGCACTGTATTTGATACATACCTCTATGTCATGTTATTAACGTTATGATGTGCCCAGGTTTTTTTTTTTTTTTTTTTTTTTTTTAGGTTGTACTAATTACATTTTCTTTCCTTCTCACACAGAATGAAAAAACATATGGAGCGTAAACGACCAGGCTGCGAAATGGAGAAACAGTTATTCCATGGGACTGAGATGGAATCCATTCAACACATTTGCAAACATAATTTCGATTTTAGGGTATCTGGAAAAAATGGAACACTCTTTGGACAAGGAACATATTTTGCCAAGAAGGCAAGTTTTAGTGATAAATATAGCGTTACAGATAAATCTGGTTATCAATTCATGTTTTTGGCTAAGGTATTAGTAGGTCGTTCAGCTAAAGGAGATCCATCATATAAAAGGCCACCAGAGATAGAAAATTCGAAAGGTGATTTGTATGATTCGTGTGTAAATAGTCTAAATAAGCCATCCAGGTTTGTCATATTCGATCGTTATCAGTGTTACCCAGAATATCTAATAACATATACGAAAGTGAGTTGTGAGAAAAATGATGTGAAAGTTGATGACGGCAACTTGATGTGCTCACCAGGACTATCAAATGCTGGTACCAAAAGCAAATCACCACAGACAGGTCCTCAACATCCCATCAGTAGTGACTGTCCACCGCAACAGTCTAGCATTGTCTGTGATATTTCAGACCAGCGCCACCATATTCAGATGCAACACCAGACAAGAGCAGGTGAACCACAGCATTCATCCTCTGGTTCTGTTATATTAATTACGAGTACATCACATCAATGCGGCACTGAGTATGATCCATCAATCGTAAGTCAACAACAGTCGCCCAGTACTGATAACCTAACTGCAAGTCAGTCGATTCAGTCCTGTACAGATGAAACGTCACTATGTGTAAATGATTCAAGACAGTCTCATGGATCTATAACTATACATAGTTTACCACGTGGAGATAATCCAAAACAATCTCACACCAATGAGCGTGCGTCTCCATGCAGTGTCATGTAGATGAACGTTTTTATTATATTGGCGAATATGCTAATGATTTAATTCAGATTACATGTTTTGATGCCTTAGAGTGATCTCATTCATATTGAGCTAGCATAATCTGTTTTGGTTGAACATTCTGTTTCTGCTTCTTTCTTGATAACTTGTTTACCAATTATTCTGGTTTTTAATTTGTTAGTGAATTGAGGTTTCCATTAAATATGTCAGTTGACATGTAATATCCAATATTTTCTGTATTATTTTGTTGTAATTAATTCATGTATTACAGAAATACTCTCCCTTGTTTACTATTCTTTCTCAATTCTTTGCTCAAACATTATACATAGTGATTTTGACAAAAATCTCATTAATTCTTCTCAATATATACGTAATCTATATAATATATGTAACCTTTGTACATGATACACAATTGTGTTAACGTGTGTACATCGATAGTTATAATTGGTACTTTGAACAAGCCGGTAGACTAATTGGCGATCGTTATCTTTATTATATTCGCCCTTTAACCTAGATTTCGATTAAATGACACACTTTTTATTTACAACCTATTTGTGATTGTATTTTCTAGATTCTTTGATTAAACGCAGCATTTACAGTTCATTCAAAGTTGCGTGGGGACTTTCCTTGATACAGTGTAACAATTCTCGTTGATCTGATAGACCCTCGTATGTGTGTAACTTAGCCAATATCAAAAAAGCATGATCATTTGAACATTGCTATTACAAGACTGACAGGAAGTGCAGATACATTTGGCAAGAAATATCAAAAATCAGTTTGGGGCTGTTGTCATGGTAACCGTGGGCCAGATTTTCCCCCCAGATTTTACCACCTAACTAGACTGAAGGTATAACATTCCTACCGAGCAAGAACGAAAGCGGCCCAGACAAAAATATCAAAGAAGAGTTGAAAAGCTGTTCCCAGTGAAAAGTTACTGGGTAATGAAAAAAGATATTGAAAACGATATCTAGTCGCGGTACCCGTCAGCACTGCAGCCTAAATTTCATTAAGTACAAGTCAGCCACACAAGTCTTGCAATTTAGCATTACCAGTACTTTGTTTGGGTTAGTTACAACTCTCATTCAGTGAACTGCGTGAGTTGTAGTTTAGTTTTAGCGGACTACTTTTAGTTTTGTTGAGCCATAAAAATAATAAAGCATCGTTTATTGTCTGAAATGAGGATATAAAGGATATAATGATTCAGCAATATTGTTTTTGAACAATATTGTGAGTTTGTTTTCTTATATTCACGAGCAGCCATCTTTGGGAAATAAAAATAAAATCAATATTGCTCTGGATTGCGTTAACGAACAGAAATTGGACTGTTCATAACTTTGGTTTTGTTCGTCAATTATTTGTGGCGACAATTTTGACATTGCGATTTGGAATGATTACCTCTTACCGTAATCGTGATTGTATGTGACCTCAAATAAATATTTAGTGTATCATTATATTGTTATTAATTATGGTGTATTAGTAGGAGATATGGTATTGTTTATTTAAAAGGCGGTGGGCGTTAACGTGAAATTCGGACACGCACTGTGCGACGACCACTGTCCCTTTAATGTGTGTATATTGTATAATAGTCATTGGTTCGCGTAAACTCGAGTTGTGTTTTTGTGTTTTGTTATATTCTGAACGTGACATATATGAAACTGCAAAACAGGATTCACATGAAATAATTTTGTATGGCGACGAACACTGGTTTTGTTGTATTAACTCGGTATCTGCCCCAAAAAGGAAGTCAGAACCACTTATTAAGGCATTACTTATTTGTATAGCATACAAGCATATTTGTATAGTATATTGAAGGCCATGAACATTGCCTAGTATACTATGATGGCTTAATTATCGTCTTATTAAACCTCATGTCAGATACCAGGGGATCGTTACGTTCGCAAGCTTCTCGACTAAGCAAAGACACAAACAGATTGGATCGTGTCAACTTCTAATCTCAGTCCTCCTTTGGAGAGCCCGCCAAGGCTGGCTCGCCTGCCGAGAACTCCCCAAAACTCTCTCTGCCTCTTGGAGTCTTCGCCATGTCTAACTAACACTAGCTTTATTCACTTCTCCAAACTTTAACCTATCACATGGAAGTTCAAGATTTGGAGGCGTGGCCTCCACACATTCAACTCGCATGTAGCCTATCACACGAAGTACTTAAGACGTCATATATATTTGATTAATTGTCCGCTATATTAAGAGACTACACATACCAAACTGCCAGGAATAGCAGTCAGATTGGCGACGTTTATATCGCAATTAGTTCTAATCACTGACTCTGCTACCGCCTAGCACGTCGTATAAGCCTAAATGGGAACAGGTTGTTATGGGAAAGTGTTGAATGATATTAACCAGCTATTCACATGAACCCAGCTATCAAGTCGGTATTTAGAGACATTGAAACACATCCAATACAGTCTTGTACTAACCTACTTTGGAACAATGTGGGGATGTGTTTTGGGATGGTTTCAAAAACTAGTGCTAAGTGTCTTTGGTCAAAAAATGATATCTTTACATGTGTCCATTAAATTACAACAAATGGAATGCAAGTTTGCTTTTTAGAACGTTTGTAAATATCGTGTCAATCAGATTAATCCCTGCGTCTTTGGAGTGTACATACAGTTGGGAGACACTACTATGATGAAATTGTTTGCACGTATCTGTTGATAGACTTATTTAGTTGATTACTAGCGAATGGCTGTGTTATGTCTGTCATCGTTTAGGCCCATGCGAGGTCCTGGATGGAACTCGACTTAGTGATTTGGAACTAATTACGATATAACCGTCGCTATTCGGACTACTATTTCTGACAGTTGGTATTCGCAGTTAGTAATGTAGTGAACGATTAATCAAAAGATATGACGTGTTCAGTACTTAGTGTGATTGGTTGAATGTGTGAAGGTTACTCCTCAGAGTCTTTTAACTGCTTTGTAAATGGTTAAGGTTTTGAAAGTGAATAAAGTTGTTTTAGTTGGTCTTGGCGAATACACGAGGACAGACGCAGTCTAGGAGAGTCTTGGGTCAGCCTTGCGATAGTCGTGGGGACTTTTCCCCAGGGCGCTGTGTCTTATAGAGTACTCGACTGACCGACTAAATACGAGAGTTGAAACGTATTTTGTTGTGTGCCTCTATTTGACTAAAAGGTTTAAGTGACTTTCCCGATCCCGTACCTCAAGGAGACGCGATAGAGAGACAAGACGAGATATTCTCCCCTTACACGTGTGGAGAACCCAGAGAAGAAGATTTTCCTCCTGATACTACCATGCCGACAAGGATTGGAGAGATGCACAACTTGTGAGAGTTCTGTTAAGTTTGTACAATGCAGTTTCCTGAATGTGGTGGGTCCGAGGTGAACAGGAGGAGTTTTTATGTTATTTTACCCATGTGTTAGCATAGGGCAAATTACTGAAATTGTATTATCTAGATGTACAAAACACTGAGAAAACTGAACTCAGACAGTCCTTTCATAACAAGTGAAGTGCTCAACTGCAACAGTTGGATGCCTGTAACTTGATTCACTCAGCTACTACCAGCCTGTAAGGTCTTTGCTCAAACGTTTGCAAGATTCATGAACACGTTGACGAGCGTTTATATTCATTTTTACTCTACATTGTATTATGTCAGCTGGCGCACAAATTATATAAAAATATGGGGCCGCCATCTTGAATACGTTATGATACAACTGTGCGTTCATGTGGAATGTAGACCTGACTGATACCGTGTTCACACGTGTGCCAAAAAGCCGGTTAGGAAATCAGCTCTATAGTTTAGCCGGCGTTGAAACACGTATGAATAAGATAAGCCGGCGACACGCCGATTTCGTTTAAAGGGCGGTAGTCGCGCTGCGCATGTGCGATATCTGTGTTGATAAACATTGATTTTCCCACAATCCAATGCGCTCTTAATGGTAATCACAAGTAGAGGTTCAATCTGGGCGCGACTAGCACTAAGGCCAGACTATTATTATTCCTTGTTTCGCGATTTTTATAAGGCAATTTTTTTGATGAGGGAGGAAAAAAATAAAATTAATTCTTTTTTTCCATTAGATTTAGTGTGATTCTCAAAGAATTGTAAGTGAGATCATTGATCAGAGAGAAGAAATGAAATAAAATTGTATTCCATGTATAACCTTGTTTCTCATCTGTGCGAGACTTCGGTACTTTGATCATGATGCTCCCAGAAAAATGCAACTTGGATTTGTTATGCAGCGGGCGGTAAGAAAATTAAGATAAAAATAATATTTTTTTAGCATTTTTTTGCGCTTACAGGCGGGCGCGAGAAATTACGCTGAAATAAAATTATATTTTTATTTCATTTTCGGCTCTTGTTCATTCGGCGGGTTCGCGAAACAAGGGATAATACAAGTCTGGCCTAATTACCCTCCTTGACTCCATCGATACTTTCCAAACACCTAAAAATACCTAATTAAAGCTTGGTAACGTCTCAGTTTATACTCGTTGATCTGCGCAACAGTCAAAGTCGCCATCTTTGTTTATATGAGACCCATATATCTCGCGCATGCGTGGCGCGACGACTACCGCCCTTTAAGTCGGCCGATAGCAACTCAGTCTTAGTTGTTTACCAAGTTAGTCAACCCGGCTCTGTGGCACACGTCTGAAAATGGTATAAAAGAGAAGTGCGTTCAGTGCCTACGGCGAGGCACCACATAAATCAGCCCGCTCGCCGGTATTATACATTGTTGCTGCCGTAATCGAACGTTGCGTGAAGTCGCACGTCCATCACAACTTCTGCAAATTATGCACACCTGCCTTGCCTTTGTTGTATATGACAATGAATATAGCATAGCAGCATAGGCGATGCGCCGGTTTAAAAAAGATGGTACGGATTATTTCTATGTTTTGCAGTGCTAGAGCTAGATGTGTATGTCTTGATACGGTAGTGCTGGGGTTATGAACATATGGAATAGCATATATGGATAGGGTGTTCGTGCTCCAGGTTCATGACCTGACAGATACCGTACCGTGTCCCGATAAGTAAAATGACTAGGCAAACGTATAAATTGGTTCATAGTTCATGACATCACGGCCTTGCTTGTCAGTTCATAGTGTCACCACTCGTCAAATCGATATCAGCCTATTACTTCGTGACCAAATTTCACGTGATTGGCCACAAAAGGAACTTCGCAAAAGATTTATTTAGATTGTTCATCTCTATGGAAACATGCGGATGGCCACCGAAATATCGTTGAGAGCCAAAAACCACTTGCACGAGACTTGTTATTTCCTCACGTCCACTATTTGAGTGGACTGTGTGACCATGGTAATTGGAAAATCGGACACTAATATAGGAGAGAAGGTAACACTACTGCGGGCAAAATATATATATCTTTTTCGGCCATTTGCGTTTAAAGTATATTGGAATTTGATGAAAAGCCGACAGAAAACAAAAATGTAAAAGGGCAGTTGATGGGGACACGAAAACAACTCGTAAACAATTTCGCCCACCGACGTACACACACTTGTACACAGTTAATAAGAGTATTTTATTATCAGCTAAACATAATAAAACAACTAGCTATTCTTTTCACCATGTATGTATGTTGACTATCATGGGTGTTATTATAAGTCTGGCAATTCCACAGTGTCTGAGTGCTAAACAAACTTACCGACATAGTTTGCGATAATAATAGAACAAGGTATTATACGACTTAGGCCACGCACACACAGTGTGTATCATTACGTAAAATCATGTGAAGTTTGTACAGTGTATAGTCGTGTCGGGTCCCACTAATATAACCAGTTTGGAGTGAGACGCGTCATAACACATACTTTGTCTCATTTGTATTCCAAAATACTTCACAATACAGCTAGGACTAATATCAAACGGGAATACAACAACAATTAGTGCAGTTCAACGATTGGATACTGACTTTTGTCGTTTTGAGTGAGTCAACATAAAGTAGTTTCTAAGAACCCAACAAACACTGACTCAAAGATAATCAAATACATTGTAG